TGTAGGACCCCCATACTGCAAATCAAACACTTGAGACTATCACTATCTGAGACACAGTCCTGTGCCCTCACATACTGTGGGCAGCCAGTGAGGTAGTTCAGAATCCACTTGGACATGTGCTGGTCCACTCCTGACAGCTCCAGCTTGTACCTTAGGAGTCCTGGCTGGATGGTGTTGAAAGCACTGGAGAAATCAAAGAACATTATCCTCACACTGTCCCACCTGAAGTTTGAGATCTGGAACCATTTTGGATTGAAAACAGCTAAAGATTACGTGCTGGATATGTGCCATTAAGGTGACTTCCCACTACATTGATAAATAGGACGCATCTCATGCTACAGACCACCAAGATTACGTCAAGCCCGACAGCTGCAAATATAGCCAATAGGTCGACTGAAGACATTAACAAATGGGGCTGACCAGCAAACACCCTGTAGTTGTTACAGAAAACGCTACAATAATGGTTTGTGCGGTGGAGATAATGCAGCTTATGAATGTCTGCTGTGTCACGTCTGCTTGCTTGAGTGAGGCTTCACTTTTTCACTTTTCACAAACAAGTTTGCCCTTTTGCTACAGTTTTTTTCACATCTCAAGTTTAAACTATCTAATTTACAAGTTTGCACTTTGTATTTAATACGACAGGAAAAAATAAAATACATGAGTAATTTTAAACACAGTTGAACAACTTTCAATTTTTGTAAAAACAGATCAAATCAAACTGAATCGATTTAGAACTGTATGAATCAAAATCAAATCGATTCAGGACTTTTCCAAAATACCCAGCCCTACCTTTTAGTGAGGTTTACAGTAAAGTCAGTTAAGTTTTTCACCAAGGTGGTGCTATTCTACACCTAATAATAGGAAGCTGCCAGCAGCACAGCTGTAAAGCAGCTGGATCAGGCTGCCAGTCATCTTAAACAAAGCATAAAATACTTAAATTCTAAGCACACGCCTGTATAATGTTAACCTGACAACAGCCAGGTTAGTATAATGTAGTATTAATTTCAAAATGTAACCCAAGTCTGTTTATACAAATAAATCTTTAATAATTTAGATGACACAATATTTACATATAATATCCAATGTTTGGTTAATTTTTCCTAGAGGGTGAGGTCTACATGTTTAACTCCTTCCGACCAGTAGGTGGCGCTCTCACTCCATACTGTTTGCCATGTCCACTAATGCTCATGGTAAGCATTAGCAAACTTTGAACCTACCTCTCCAGAAGGAAACCAGTAATCTCCTCATGATTTCTTTCCTCAAAACTTTTACGGAAGTTCACCATTGATTTTATCTGAGAAGTAGCTCAGCGTCACATGACTTCAACTTTCGTTGAAGTCAGCAGTCTCAGTCTCCGTAGACTCCTCCTCCAGATTCTCTTGGAGAAGCCCAAGGCACTCCAAGGCCAGCTGAGGGACATAGTCCCTCCATCCTGTCCTGGGTCGTCCCCCGGGCCTCCTCCCACTAGGACGTGCCTGGAACATCTCACTTATCTCAGCTTAGCTGGCTCCTATCAATGTGGAGGAGAAGCGGCTTCACTCTGAGCCTCTCCTGAAAGAACAAGATCCTTGACCTCTCTAAGCGAGAGCCAGACCCCCTGCTGAGGAAGCTCACACCAGCCGCTCGTATCCAGGATCGTGTTCTCTTGGTTATGATACCGATTCATCACCTTAGGTAAAGCTGGGCGTACACTGTACACTTTCTGCCCTTTTCAGGGCAGATTCTCCAGTCGTGCAACAATTTTTCGAGCGGGACGATTTTTAGCCGATCGTGCATGGTGTAGTGCACAGGGGGTAACGAGGGACGATCAGCCTCTCACGACCACCTCCCGATAAGGAATGGTAAAGTCAGGAGAAAATTTGTCGTCATAAGGTGGTCGTGGGCAAATCGCTCAGTGGGCAAAGAAGGATTCCTCTTCTTCCTCTTAGACAAAAACACAGAAGGATGGTGGGGGTGCAATGAGTGAAATGGAGTTCTTTCTGTCAGACTGGCAGACCATAGTACCCACGTTTGCTCAGCCATGTCTTTGTCCAAATACGTCGTCGTCTTCTCTTCTTAGGGCTTTCAGCACAAAATTGCACAAATTGCCAAGGCAGAGCGTTTCACTTTAGTGAGCTTCATGTTTAACAGAAGGCATCGACACTTCCATCTTTTTGCTCTTCTACTGGTTTGGCTTCAGGATAGACGAGTCCGAGTAGCGCCATCTCACTGCGGAGTGGAGTCCCAGCTGGTTTTTAGACGTACGGTGTGAGCAGGTAGATCGCATCAGAGTGTCGGACCACACACTGTGAGCTGTGAATTTTTAAACCCTGCAGTTCTGTTGTACAGTGTAGCTGCGTTCAACGATTGAATAAATTGTACAGTGTATGCCCAACTTGGCTCTCTTCACTACAATAGTTGGGTGCATACACTGAAAAAAGAATTGAGGTTGACAGAACTTACATTTTCTAGGCAACGTGATGCATTTGGTTTTTTGAGTTTTCCTTTCTTAAATTCACTGTGGTTGAGTTTACAAAGATTTTTGAGTTCTGCCAACTTAGGTTTTTGGAGTGTTACATAGAAATTTTGAGTTCTACCAACTTAGGTTTTTGAGTTTCACCTTTAAGTTCTGAGTTCTATCAACTTTGTTTTATGAGTTTGACATATAGATTTTGAGTTCTACAAACTCAGATTTTGTAGCGTTATCTGCAAGTTGAATTCTATCAACTCAGTTTTTTTAGTCCTACCAATCGTCTTCACTACCAATCATTCAACACACAAAAAATTATGTTAATACAATATTTTTATTGATAGTCTGCATTATAGCAGCAGCTCACTCCGTTCTCCCCTCACTCGTGAACAGAGGCCCGTCTCACAAAGCAGGTTTAAAAAAAACTCAATTCCCCAACTCTGAATTGATCTAGCCTGAGGTTGAAAACTGATTTTTCGATTTCACAAAGGCAGCTGTATGTTAGTTGAATCAACTCTGAATAGGTCCATTCAGATTTGAACTCGTGCATAACAAGTGTGAAAAGCCATTATCAGTGGAGCCCCAATTGGAAGGGTCACCATGACGATAGGCAACAGGAAGGGCCCATTTCACACCACTAGAAGTAGAGATTTTAATGAAAAATAAAATAAAAAATGGAGAACATGTTTAAAAGACAGAGGAACAGCACTAGAGCTGCAAAGGAGAGGGAGATAGAGAAGATTGCTTGAAGTCTACTGTTGCAGGCTTTTCTGACATCCATCCATCCATCCATCACCTGACATGCTTGTGCCAATTGGGGTTGCGAGGGGTGCTGGTGCCTATCTCCAGCTGTCAATAGGCGAGAGGCGGGGTACACCTTGGACAGGTCGCCAGTCCATCGCAGCTTTTTTGACATTTATTGGAAAAACTCTCCTTTGTTGTTCCATTTTAAATCACAAAAACTATTTTCTACCTGATTAAAATCCCATTTCTAGATAGAACTGTAATAACAGATTTTCTAAATTATATTTATGTTGCAGCAACTGAATTTCAGAAAGTTAAAAAAAAAAACTAAATTGTGTTAGTAAGAATCATTTTCTTACATTTTAAGTGGCCGATTTGATATTCATCAGTTTAACTAAATAGTAATTCATAATATCTGTTTTGTTTTATATTTTATATTTCTCTGTTATCAAAATAATATCAATTCTGCCCAGTAATAATAGGTATATAGAGATCAGAAATTCATATCTAGACATGCAGAATGTTTATGTTAGATGTGAAGAATGCCATTCTGTTTGAAGTGTTCATTTTGACAAGAAAACATAAAATGCAGATATCAGAAATACCTATTCATCTAAACTAATAAATATCTTAACAGCCAGCCATAGTCTTTTTTAATCACAATAACATTACGGGGAAAACTGGTTTACTAGAAGAGAATCAATGTATTACCGTAAATCATCTAATATAGGCCGGGGTACCTTGGTTTCGCTCAGGTACATCTTGGTCCAGGCCATTATTGGAAGGAGGCCAGAGTTAGAGGCAGGACTCCATTTCTATTTAATCAAAACAGACTACCAGTGGAATGAATAAAAACAAGATTTTGTGTCTCTTTGAACCTATAAAATACTCGGTTCATTTATTGAAAAAGTAGTTACCATAACGGTATACAGAACACAATTCTGACATCTTCCAGCAGCTGCAATTTTTCTGCACGGCAATACGAAAAAAAATAAAATAAAGAAGACACAAAATGGAACTGACTTGCGATACAAAGTTTTTTTTTTTTAAATTAACGGAAACTATTCTGCCATCACAGCGAAATTTTATTTGAGGCAGGGTAAGTGAAAGTAGTGTACCAGTATCATATATCTCAAGGGAAATTCAGAACGAAATTCTGTCATTTTAACGCTGCCTGGTTACAACCAGACCTACCGGTGATCACATATGTCTTTCAGAACAGAACGATTGTGTAAGGCCACTACGATCTCTTTGTAAGGATGGGACTTCCCATGTTAATGGCTTGGATTCATTAGCAAACATTGCCCCCTGTGGTACTTGTATGTTACTATTACAAGGTGTTGAGAACTGCCCAGAAGCATCGTTGGTTCCAATTATAGCCCCAGCCTGTTAACGAGTCCAGCTATTATTTACCTCCACCAACAGCGAGACCGGCCGCTAATGGAGTACAGGCCAATATTAGAGGATTTACGGTATATTTAGGTGAAATCAACCGGCCAGCAGGTGAAGATGAAGAATGAAAACATTCTAAGAGGTAGGACCTGTGCATCCTCTCATAGGGTTCTTCCTCATTTTATTTCTGTCTTCCTGACCTTGACCTGGATGATTTCATGACGCCAAATATTTGGGATTATTCAAACAAAAACAGCAGCAAATCAGTTTATTTCATGAAACATTTTTAACTGAACAGACATCCAAACAAAAATTATCTCATTAAGATTACAGAAAAACAGAAGAGCAAAAGTGAGGTAGAGGTTTAACTCTGGACGACTGTGGGAAATTGATTCCAGTCTGATGGGAGCAAGGCTGAGAATAATTTACCATAATGAATCCAGACTCGTCCTTTTTATTGTCCGTTACTGTCATGGAGCCTGAAAACAGATCTCATAGGTCCATGTCTTCAGCTTCTCCTGCAGTGTCCTCACTGTTGGTCTCCCACGTCTCATCCAAGCTGCTGTCATTGTCTCGGCTCCTGTCCTTCCAGTCTGGATTCTCCATTTTGTTTTCGCTCTGATGGTCTCCGCTCAGCCGTGTCATCCCACCCGGTCTCGGCTCTACCTGCTGCTCTGCCTCCTCCTTCTTCACCCTCCATGGTAAGGCTGGCTGGGGCCTGGGGGGGGTCTCAATAGGGCCATCTATCTCCTCCACTTTCACCTTAACTGGAGCAACTGCAAAAACAGAACAAATGAGCCAGCCAGTCGTTCAAATGCACAAGTGATGGATGTGAGAGCCGGTCACTCACTCTCCTGTTCCTGCGGTTCGGTTTTGATCGGGGGGGCTTCAGGCTTGCTACTTTCAACACATTCTGGCTGTTTGTTAGCAGTGATGTCAGCTTGTTCCTGGGACAGCCGCTTCCTAAATTTCCTCTTTCCTGTGGAGATAAACAGACGAAAATGAATAAAATATGAAACTTTTAATTTCTCTCTTAGTGGGGAAATTTAAAACCAGTATTGGTATATCTATAATGGCTTTGTTTCAGTCCAGTCAGTCTGAGCTTTAACTTGTGGGCAAATGGATTCCTGTTCACATTTATGTTTCTTTTGCTTGTTTATAGGGTTGCATACTGTCTGCGGGATTCTATCCCACAGACTCCAGGGTGAAAGTCATGCAGACAAATGGATATTTCCCTGGTCAGATTGCAAACCTGGGATTTTCAAAACCGGGTTGATACGCTAACGATCGGCGTTTGGTACTGTTCCCATTTGACTGAAAAGCGCGGGTCTAACCCCCTGCTGACAGCTGCGTGGCCACTGTCCTCCACCACTGCGTGTCTGATGACGACATGACTCTGGGTGAGCGTTGATAATGTCGACAGTGCAATGAAAATCAGGGAAGTAAACAATGGAGAGCAACATGGACAGGAGCCAGAACGTAGACATTGTACTTTATTGTTTTGCTCTGTTGTCACACTGCAAAAACGATCTAGAAATAAGTAAAGATTTCTTAAATTAAGTGTATTCACCCTTAATTTGAGGAGGTAAATGAGATAGTTTGCCAATGGAAAAAATAATTTTACTCTTACAATAAGATAATATGCACTTGAAATAAGACAATGCAATTGTGTTTTCTTATTTTAAGTGTAAATTGTCTTGTTCTATTGGCAAAATGTCTCTTTTACCTCTTCAATTCAAGAACAAATGCACTTATTTTAAGAAAAAATTACTTATCTGTAATTATCTGTAATCTGTGCAGTACTCAGACTACTAAATGTAAATTAATCTCCTCCTCTGCGCGGATCATAAGGAGCTCACAAATCTGTGTATCTTGCCAGTGTTGTGCGATGTTTCTTGGATACAAGCAGAGTTGTTTGGCTTTGCTATTTTAACACACGACCGACGCGATGTTGTGACGTGCGTACGTTGAGTACGGGTCACACCGGTGTTCTGTCAGATGAGCATGCCCAGTCTGACCAGCATACCCATAGTCAATACGCATACGCGAAACGTCGGATTTGCATTTATCCCTTTATTTTTGTACGAAATAGACCTTAAACTACCTCAACCAGCATTTATCCCTTTAGTCATGTAACAAAAAAAACAAAACAATTTAAGGTCAGATCGCCATACACTTCAAAAAACACCAACAAGTAAGTAATTCAATTATTTTTTTGTACACGACTAAAGGGATACACACCCGTTGAGGTAGTTTAAAGTCTATTTTTCATACCAAACTAAAGGGATTGACTATGGGTATGCTGGTCTGACAGAACATTGGCTATGGTGTTCCCACAGCATGCAGATCCGAGCCGAAGAGATTTGACACAGGTCGCTTGCCGAGTCGTTTGAACCGGGTAGACACGCGTCATTGAGCTTTTCCCACTGCCACTAAAAGCCCATTGTTCCTGGGTTTTAACAGGTTTTTTGCCAGTATGAATGATTCAAATAATTCATCATCATTTAGCTGCAGTCTGCCCGGCCGGTGTTCTGTCAGATCAGCATACCCTTAGTCAATACGCATGTGCAAGATGACAGATTTTGGCTTATCGCTTTAGTTTTGCAAGAAAAATAGACTTTAATCTACCTCGACGGGCATCTATCCCTTTAGTCATGTACAGAAAAACTATTTAAGGTCAGATCACCATATGCTTCAAAAAACACCAACAAGTGATTAAATAGGGTTTTTTTTGTACATGAATAAAGGGATACACGCCTGTTGAGGTAATTTAAAGTGAATTTTTCATATAAAACTAAAGGGATAAATGGGTATTGACTATGGGTATGCTGGTCTGACCGGGTATGCAAAAATGAAAGAACAAGGGTTAGCCTCCAGAGCTCTCCGTTAGCCCCGTCTTCTCAAGTGTGGGTACAAGCCCACGCTACACCGCTCTGCTTCACTCTCTGCTGGGCATCTGCCGGCCATCTATCACTATACTCCTCCTCCACACCCCCACCCGGTGGAGATTAGCCCCACAGCACTGAAGCTAAAAAGGGGTTAACAGCAGGATAACAGAAGGATCCAGGCAAGATGGCCGGCATTTAGAGCACTGGGTGTCGCTCTCTCTGCAGCGCGATGCACATGTTTAGTCTGGAGGTTCTTCCACTTTAAGTTGATTTGGAAATCTCCAACATAGACTTAAAATGCAGTGCAAATCTGTCTAGATCATATTTATCCTCTGAGATTAGCGTATAGTTTTCATTAAATTTGCTTCTTTTGGTGAAGCTGTTATTTTTAAAACCAATTGCATACATAGAAGATTGATGAGGTTTTAAAGACATTCCCAGTTCCAACTGTCCCTGAATGCAACAGCTGGAAACAGGTTGCTCAGCTGCTGTGCTGAGCTGTTGGTCATTATTTTTAATTTATTTATTTTTTTACTACATTTTTTTTAACAAACTTTATGGCTCCAATTTTGCTCCAAAAATTGGATCAACAAGTAGTATTCGTCTTAAATGTGTGAATTTGCACTTCATTTGAATTTGTTAATGAAATAATGGAATAAGGAAAAAAAAAAAGGGGAAAACACACCTGCAGATAATTTACCTACCTGCTAAGATATGGAGAGAATTTTGCAACGATTAAGCTTTGCAAATTGAAATTAAAACAAAATACAATCCAGAAATGAAACTAAAAAACATTTTAGCCAAAAAGAGTTTTAAAAGGTTTTTTTTTTCCTTCTTCAAATTTAATCATTTATTTATTTATTTTTTTATGTAGTTCATATTTTCCATTTAGTTTCATTCGGGATTGCTTTATTTTTTTTTTAAGACGTGTTCTTCTCTTCCAACAATAATGGAACAAAATTCATTCCATACACCAATGACAGCTGATTCACTGACTTATTGTTTGATCCCTTTTTGAGGGCAGCTGTCGGTCATTTTGGGTTTGATTGGTGTTTTTAAGACCTGGGATGCAGAATCTGAAACTTAATCCACCGCCCCTAGAAGACAAGACCATCCATGCACATTTCACGTACTCTTTCTGCCGTGCACCATGGGCTTGGGTTTCTTGTACCGTGCCACCTGGTTTTCAGGCAATACTGTAAAAACAAAATGAAACGTCTGTCATTTGATATCTAAACTAAACCCAGCTTCCTCCATCAATCCACCTGGGTTCAGACGTCTTCCCAAAACACTTTGTTTTTATTACCGAGTCCAGGAGGAGGCTGCAGCTGGTACCCCACCAGCTCACACCATCCTACAGGGTAGATATCGGGGGACTGGTGGTCGATCCACTGGTCGAACTCGTTGTCCCAGCCGTCAAAGTGGATCAGCAGAAGGCGACCCACGCAGCGCCTCACGGTGGCCACGCACACCAGCCGCGGCTCCATCAGGTCCACCGCTTCCAGCTTCATGTTGGGGGAGAAACCGTGACCCGGGTTGTCCTGCAGAACAAGTAGCAGATTTTAACCCCTTAAGCCTGACTGAGACCTGCTCATGTTTATCCATTTATAGAAATGGCCAAAACACAGTCACATGGTGTTTCATCTGCACGCCTTTCAAATGGGGCTTTAAAATTTCTAAAACATGTTTCCAAATAATTTTTTCAAAAATATTTTTTGTTTTATAGCCGTGTCCACCTGAAATGTGTGACTCTACAGGAGACAATGCAACAGCAGCTATTCATTTATAGCCACTCCCCCTAATGGCGGCATCACTGGAAACTAGAGGCTCAGACCCTTCGAAGGAGGGGTCAGAGGTCATTGTGTGACCATTTCAGGTGATGTAACCAGCATGCGTTACATAAGCTTGCTGTGTTATTCTTATTTTCTATTCAGTTTGGTTATTATTGTGTGTTCAATGCTAAATTTCAATGAACCAACAGCTAAATCTAAGGAGCAAAGGCTATGCCTTAGGCAGAGGGTCTCCAATCATGCACATTTGTCTGATCAGATTCCCTTTTAAGAATGGAAAAAAATGCATTTTGGCCACTTTTGGCACCGTGCCAAAATCACATTTCCGCATCTGGTGTTTGACAGGTGTTTCCAACGCAAAAAAACAACAACAAACTTACAGTATTAAAGAGCCACGCTGGTGCAGCTTTGGCTTTAGTCAGTTGCAGATATTTTTCCCAGGTAAAAGTCTGAGGATCAGAACCTGTCAGGAAACAAACATTCTTTAGATTCTGTAAAATCAGGAGGTTAGGGATGATTTTTAAATCTAATACCAAGCAGAAATCAGCAGATATCAAATGTTTTAAATCCGTTTAAAGATTTGATTAAGAAGCTCTGGCAGCTGGAAATGTACCTGGAGGAACAGTGAGCGTGATGTTGTTCCTTTTACAGAAGTTAATGGGTAGAATGGCGTGGGAGGAAGCGTGGTAGCAGAACCAATCAGCTCCGTTCTTCATCCCATCGATGCCCACCATGAGGTAGCCGTCCAGCAGCACCTGCAGATCCAGAGAGTCAGAAGTCTGTTTCTGATGAAAGCTGACCCGACCAATCAGATGGAGGAAGGGAACCTTGTGAACAGTGGCGACGCAGATGTTTCCCAGGTTTAGAGGATCGATGGCTTCCAGCTTCATTCCTTCCTCGAAGAAGCTCTTCCCCATGTAGACGTACCTGGGCTGGAGGTTCAACACATGAGCAGATAGAACCAGGACGTTTACATCGTTTCTTCAACGCGTTTCTCACATCAGTCTGATACTAAAAGGCCAACAAAAACTTTTTCATATTTATAAGATTTTTGATTGAATTTTACAAATTGGATTCTTTTAAATTTGCACTTTATAGATAACGTTCTCTTCACTTCAGACCCAATAAAAACACTTTGTCATTCAGCAGACAAATAAAAATCCTCGCTCCGGAGGAAAGCCCGCCCCCTTAAGGGAATGTGAAAGGAAGGCAACTGGTAAAACTGAATATAAATAATAAAAAAAAATGTTTTTGTTGAAAAATAAAATACGATGGAGTTTTTGGTGTGAGTTTTTTTAGATTTTCATCACAAAATGGGTTTTCTTTCCAAGTTCTTTTTTCTTCTTTGGAACCAATAATGGAGCAAAATTCCCTCCATACTTCAGTGAATCCTGGTGGGATTTTATGTTCTAAAGCAACAAATAATGAAAAGTTTAAAGGAAGTAAAACGTTAAATGGCAGATATATCTTTTCTGTAGATCTGAACTGTAATCACATTTTCCCTCTGTAAAAATAGCAAGTGAACTAAAATATAATGTGTTAAAGGTTAAATATGTATTTCCTGAGCAAATAAAGGCCTTAAAATCCTTTCTGTTTTATCACTCGTCTGTTCCTGATCTGTACAGGAAATGGGATCCTACGCTACTTCTGGGAGCTAACTTTTTCACTTTGGATTTTAACATAAATCTAGTCTTTTTCTTCTAGTTTTTTTTTTCCTTTAATGTTAACATTATGGTATATAGTGTGTAATATAAAGAAAGACACAAATAAAGTGCAGATAAACATGGTTTAATCATATTTTAACACACTGCTCTGATCAGAAACTGGAAGAAAAAATTAAAAATAAATGTGGGACAGAAGCAAGTCAACACTTTAACTCTCAAACGAGCAAAACTGGTTGAGTTAAAATCCCAAAATAGGGGAAGTCACATTTTCCTCATTTTTATTAAAGGAAAAGTCCGCTCATATTCAGAATTCTGACTTCTGAAAGTACTTTAAATATAAAACTATAACATACTGTTCAATAAATGCTGTTTTTAATTCAGAGAAATTTTCATGTGAATGTTCTTTACTGGAGGCATCCATGTTTGTCAAAGAACACTA